ATGTATGTTCGTGAACAATTTTTTGAGTTGGCTTGTTTAATAAACAAGTTTGGTTAATTGTTTGAGTTCAACTCGTGTAAGTAAACAAACGAGCTAAACTCATACTTTAACGAGTCAAACTAAATTGTATTAGCGAACAATTCATATGCAATTCGGTTCAAATAATAATTCTACACACACTTTTACTACTTTAATGAACTGAATCGAATCATCAAACTGTAGAGGGCTATGAACGAGACTATTGTGGTTGCCGACGACGGCCTTTTACAAGCTCAAAAATGTTGGCTTAGACATTGCAAGCTCAATCTATTTGTTTCATTAGATTTGACATTCGACCTATAAAAATCGAAAGAACCGTTTAATTCTTCTCGAAAGAATTACTAATTGAAAATAATTATATGGAGTGATTTGAGAATTACTGAATCAAAGGAAACTATATTGATCAAGATTTTCATTGTTACTATTGAAAACTTTAAAATCGAGTTTGATACTTTATATATATTTAATGTTTTGTTACATTATTTGTACAGTATAAAAATCGAGCTCGAGCCCTTAAGGAGCCAGGCTCGACTCGTTAAATAAACGATCCTAAAATCGAGCTCGAGCTCGAGCCTTAACGAGTAGATCTTGAGCTTTAACGATCCGTACTATAAAAAATTATATAAAAATTATATTTTCGAGTTTTAACGAGTCTTATGGAGCCAAACATAGCTCGACTCATTAGCCAAACATTGTTTTTATGAAGTTAAATTCTGCTCGTTAAATCATTAAACTCGAACCTTAACGAGTCAAACTCGTTTAATTTAATAGTTATATATAAATTCCACGTTACAAAAATACTCCATGATTTTCAAGGTTATGGAGTATAGTCTGGCACATGTGATGCCCTCGAATCCCTAGGTAAAGTCACGTGACCAAATGGCCTAGCTGGCAACAGGCTGATCATTTTTTTAACAAACGCGTGGGCTCCACCAAACGATCAAACTGTAGCTTTCTGCCACGTGACAATATTCTACGGACCAGATTCTGTTGGACTTGCTGGGCGGGGCCCACTTACTTGCCTCCACGTCCTCCGCCGCAATTGTCACAAAGTCCCCACCGACGGTGTTTTACTTTCTTTTTTATTTTTTTTTTAGCTTATCTTTTCATGTTTAATAATAACTAATAATTCCACCTATTCGGTCCAGTCAATGAACCCGGGTTCGATTCACATTCACGGATGAATTATTCAATTGAATAATTAGTTTAAAAAAAAAAAAGAAATTATAAAACTAATTTTATTTTATAGTTATTCATAAAAATAGTAAGTAATTTAGATGTAAAATTATCATCCAACTTTTTAAGTGTGTTTTTAAATTCAGTTATATTTAATAAATTGTAGTGAAATTGGAATTCAAAGATACTGCTGTTAGGTATTCGTACTCTGTATAAACATACTTGTTGAAATATAATCGTATTTTAAAGATCAATATAAATGAAAGTATAATATTTTATATTACATAAAAATATTTTTATTTAAAAAAAATATGAGGGATCGACTCGCCTGACTTTGGCGACATCGTATAATATTTTTTTCGAGAACATTAGGGGGGTTTTATTCACTTAGACTTTGAAGGATGTTTTAAGATTTTTTTTAACATTCAAAACTTTTAAGATTTTTCATTTAACTAAATCTTTCATATTTGTATTTTGCTTTTGAAGTCTCAATAAATTTTACAAAGTTCAGACAAATTTAAGTGACAAGTAAAATATTGAATACATGACTCAACTTTATGAAAATACAAATTAAACCTCGAAACTTTTATGACTTTTATAAAGCTCAACTTATATACACCAAAACATTTAAAATCTCATTAAATATCTAATAATTTCTAATGAATACACCACAATTCTTGTTTGTATACCTTATAAATGATTGCTACATAACATAATATTGTTAATAAAAGAAATTAAATATGTGCATTAATTTACCAAAATTAAAAAAAAAAACTATACTTAAATTATAATTGAAGTAAATGTCGTGAATTATTTTTTCAATTTTATCCTTAAAGATTATAACTTTAAGTTCTTGATTTCACAAATTATGAGTTCCCATTAAAAGTATTTACATAGAAACTATGGCCATAACATCTAACAATTTACAAAATACATTTGTAGTGTGATGATTAGATAAGATGATACATCTTCATTGTCGAATAAAATTACATGCTTATATTATTAAATATCAGAGTATTTGTATTATAGTTTAAATATATAATTTTAATAACCCAATATATTGAAAAATTATGATTGATTAACTGTGGATGGCTCGGCATTACAATTGATTAACTATAGATGACTTAATAAGTCAAGTCATCCATAACTTTATGTATTGACACATGGTCAATATGTATTTATTGTAGGACACGTGTTAATACATTATTTGTGAATAACTATGGATAACTCCATAAACTGCTGTCGAGCCATGGAAATGAGCAAATCATAAAGTCATGAAACTAAAATGGAAAATTCCAAATTCTGTAGCAAAGTTTGAAATTAAGTCCATATACTAAAATGGGCAATAGGAAAATCTCAAGAATTTGTTCCCTTATCAAAAAATAAGATCAAATAAAAAACATTAGGTATGTCTTTTTTCCAATAAATTTATATATTTTTATTAAAAGAATGTCATACTTTAAAATCAACATAAATTAAAATATGACATTTTTGATAGTGCAATCGTGCATATTTTTTTTTATAAAGTATAATAATACATCGAGTTGTTTACCTCAAATAATTAATTATTATTTTAAAATATAGCTGGTATACGGTTAGGTCGACATAACTATTAAGTCAATATACTTGTTTACGAATGTGACCACTTTCATTATGAAATATCAAACTATAAAAACTAATAAACATAAATATTGTAAGTATACATTTTCATTTATAGACATTTTCATTTATAGAATAGTATAACCATATATTTTCACTAATTGAGCATGATGTCTTTACTATTCTATTCACCTGTTAGTCCGAACGTGATTTTATTATTCTGTTGGGATCGTACACTTGAGCATTATCATGTTGAAGTTTTTTTTTTTTTTT